GGGGCCGTATCTGAATTCCTCTGAGACTCTGTCCCAGGGTTATGGAGCAAGATGTGCGTGCTCTAGCACTGCTACAGTGCCGAGTTCTGCGCTACAAGACAGGCAAGAGGGCAAAACATCCCCCTTCCTTTTGCCTGGCACTGTTCCTGGCAAGCTAGCACTTTCAAAGAGAGGGCTGTTAAAGAAGAGGGCCGCTCTCCAGATCAAGAGGTGAGGATTTATTTATGTCTCTTTACACAGCCATAATCCAGAAAGAGTGCTTTATTAAGAATTTGTCATGCAAATTCCCTCCACTTTAAGGTGGAAGATTTAATCTGCTGAGTGAGTTCCAAAAATAGAAAAAACCCACTAGTCTGATTGTTTATTTCCATCCTTAGCAGCATGTACCATGCTACGTCAATGGAAGATCTGTGCTAGGAAAGAATGTGGAGTATGTTGGAGAGGTCCAGCTTGTAGTCCTTCTGGCAAATCAGAAACAAGAATTTGGTCACCAGGCTTCAGGGACTTTAAAACCCCAGCTCAGCAGAACTAGTTCCTGGAAACCACAATGACACTCACCTGATCGACTTCACTTGCATAAGAGCGGCTGCCACATGAGGACAAGAGAGGGAAGCAAAATCTTTGCACAGGCCTGTTAAAACAACAAAAACCAACAGAACAATCAGGCATGGAATATCTTGTCTGTACCCTGGTGCTGCAGCATATATATGAAAAGGAATGTAGTGTTGCCTATATACATGATGTAGACTGTCATTTGAGAAGACAGAATCCAGTCTACTGTTCTCCTTAGTCTGAGCCTGTGTGTTTCCTACAGTACGAAACATTTGTTTCTCAGAAGACCTTGATGCTATTTCCAGCTGCAGAAGCTGTCTGGATATTACGAAGAATTCTAAAAAAGCTCTTGCTCTGGAGGCACAGAGCTCCTTCCACCCGCAAAGTGGGCAGTACAGTTTCTCATTTCCAACAGCAACAAGACTCTCACTTAAGAGTTGCACAAAGTTGCGGTAGAGGAAGTTATTAATTTGTCTGATGAAAGTATTCTGCTGTGGCATTGCCTCTGATACCCAGCGTAAGGCTGAATTTCCTTGGATCTATCTCACTGCTTTTACACACAGCTCCACCCTTCTGCCATCTTGGATGACACTTCTTCCTCTGCAGTGGCTACCCATTAGGTACTCTTAGATTTTATATTCCCTCTTTTCAACTGTTTAAGCTAAGAGACGCTATGTGTTTGAGTAATACCTGCTAAGCAGATCTGACACTCCTCTGCATAGTATGTCTGACTCCCAGGAAGATAAACCATGTTCACAAAGACAGACCAGAGCAAAGCAACAAGGCCTTCCAGGGAGTGAGATTCTATTTAGAAAAGCTATGCTACCAGTAGCATCACACCGTCTTACATCTTGCCATCATTCATCAAAACTGGGCCTAGACAACAAACCAGAGTGACTCTAGCTTCTGCCCTTGCCAGCCACCTCTCTAGACTATATCAGCTTTTTCATTTTTGCTCTGGGCACTGACATTGCCCTCTCAGAGCCTTCTGGCCTTCCCCTAGACTTGCTGTACTTCATCTACCCTCTGGCCCCTCTAACAACATCAATCCTTCAGCAGAGCTTATCCTCCAGGCTGCTCTTCTGTCTTCTAAGAGAATTTGCATAATCATTCACAATTATCTCCTGCTTAGACATCACAGGCTCCCAGGGTGACCTGTGCTACACCAAACAGCAATCTGCAGACACTCTGGCCACTGAGCTGCACCATGGGAACACAAGGCTAGAAAAAGGGTCTGCTAGGGCAGAAGCTTTGAACCAGATGGGAAAGGAGCTGATTTATATTCAGGCAATGGTGTCCGCTCACCTTTCTGCAACAGTTCAGCACTTTTTCTAACTTTGAGTGTCACAAGCCCAATCAGCTCTTGAAATAGCTACAGCCAATTTCAGTGCTGCAAAGGTCAGTCCCCAAGCAAAGTCAGTGTTAACATCACTGACCTGCAATCCTGGCTTGGAACTTTATCTCAACAACAAGCTCCTTGGTGTGTCTTAAAGTGCCCAGAAATGTTCATAACATTTCTTTTAATTGCATGAAGTTGATTTTTATTTTACAGGATTTTTATTTTACAGTGTCATGCCTGGTCCTGTTACTTCACTGTAGAGCACTGATTTGCTGCACTCTATTCACAATAACCTGTAGATAATAACTACTTGACATACTGTCTACCTTGACCTGAAGGCAGGGGCTTAAAATAGATGCCGGCTGCTGATCAGCAGGAATGTCATCAGAGGAAACAGCTATGATGCATATGTGAAGTTAGCCCCCACACAGTACGCTAATGTACCATGAGCCATTTTTGTCATTCTGCATGACTGAATTCTAGAGACCACAACTGAGACTTTTAAAATGCACAGATGGTCCTCGAATTGAATCTGTGCTTGTAACCATGCATTTGCTTTTGTTCAGTTACACCAAAAAAGGCAGTCCTCAGCTTGAAGAGTCAAGTATATAAATGCTACCTCAATGCATTAAGATACCGGTATAGTGACAACACTGCCTTTCAGATGAACAGTTGGATTTCCATTTCAGGTTTAGCAGCTTGTGGGTACTTAAAAAAATGCAACACATTTTTGCCCTGAGTACAAGATGCATAAAGCACAAATACAGAGTAAGCAAAACAAAAGAAGAGGAAAAAGAAAAAAAAAGAATATGCTGAAAATTCTTTTCTCAAGTTAATAAAGCATTAATTTCTATTTTTAAGGCCATGGCATATTCCTGCTGGGGCAGCTTTTGTGAGTGTGGAGTAAATAGGAGATAAAAAGCCCATGTCTGTTTGCATAGGAAATCCCTAACAGCTCGGCTATCTTTGGTCTATACCACTGCCTATTACAGGAGCCGTCCTTGACAGTGATGGTACTGGACATCACTATCAACAGCAGTAGAACAACACTGGAGGTGGCAGTTCTTGCTTAGTAGGCCATGAGCCACTTATAAATGGCTTATGTACAATTAGTGGTACACACACGATTGTTTGGGAACCTTGCTCTAAAGCAAAGCCAGTGAAAGCACTCAACTTGCTCTGAATTTGGACTAGTAGGGTTCCCATCATGTATCAATACAAAAGGTATTTTTTTCAGAGCTAGCAATTAGAATTAGATAGGCAGTTTTCTGTTCACGTTCAGAAAAACCCAGCTTCATTACTCAGCCCAGCTCCATTTCTCACTAAAACCCTCCCTCTGAACTTTCTCTCTCATTTCATGTGATTCACTGCCTCTTTAATGAAGTCACAGAAATATATGTCAGTTCCCTGCATTGCAGCAAGGCCTACTTGCTGATATTCAGGAATAAATCCTTGCTTGACACTGACTTCATGCTCTACTCAACCCCCTTTTGACTACAGATGACTGTCCAAGTGTAACAACAACAACAAAAAAAAACCAAACCCAAAAAAAACACGTTGCCAACCCCTCCTTGCATACAGAGCCCATCTCCTCTGTGCTCAGCTCAGTGACTGAGCACTGGCACAGGTTGCCCAGGCAGGTTGTGGAGTCTCCATCCTTGGAGATATTCAAAAGCCGTGTGGACACAGTCCTGGGCAACCAGCTCTAGGAGGCCCTGCTTGAGCAGGGGGATTGGACCAGATGACCTCCAGAGGTCCTAAATAAACTGTCCTGCTGAAATCAAATGAGCCCTTGATGTGTGATTTACTCAGGATCTTACTCTTTCTTCTTTTCCACCAAGTTACTTACCTGAAGGCACTCCCTGGGTCCTTGAAATTCAGGGCTTTCACAGAGAAGTTCAGAAGAGGCCGGGACAGCTTGGTAGCCAACATGCTTTCAATTAGCACACTCTGCCCACAGCAAGACTGTTCTCCCTCAGCTCTGCAATACAAGATAGCACCTCTGTTTTAGTTGCTCAACGATTTTGTAGTCATGCTGACTCCATGTATTTCAACAAGAATATAAAGTCCAAAGGAACTCATCCTTCCCCCTTCCAGTCCCTCACAAGGAGGTAAACAGCTCAACCTTCAACCACTTCAAGATGCTTTTAAGTAAGGAAAAAGATTATAAGTAAACTGACAAGCAGGGAGGCATTTAAAGAAAATGTCAACTTCTCCTTCTTTAACGCATCTTTTAAGCGTATTCTCTGAAACAGCTAAAAACTAAGGTACTTACGTGGAATATATTATTTCAAGTGAGCTACAGGAAATAATTTTAAACTAAAATATAACTTCAAGTCACAGGTGATGTTATATGTTCCCCAAAGCAATCCTTGGGCTTTGCAGCTAGTGCAGCCATGTGGTTAAAAATACATTTCTTTGTAATTAAGTAGCTGGCGATGCTGGACTATGCAGAGGGAACCACCATTAGAGTCACTATGAGGTGAAAACAGCTCAAAACCAGGAGTTAAGCACAGAAAGTTAATTTCAGTCATACTCATCTCGGATAAAACCGATCCGGCGCACAAAAAAACATCTCTGCAGCTTAATGCACAGCTTCCTTTATTAAAGCAGAAAACCGGTATCTAACTGTTGGGGCTTATCTGCACCTCCGCCGAAGGCTGGGCTGCTGCCGCGGCAGCTTCAGGGCCTGCTACGAAACAGGCCTCAACTAAAAAAAGAGGGCAACTACCACGAAAAGAGCAGTGGCGGGCCACCGCGCTCGGAAGGGAGAGGTCCAGGCTCAGGAGGACTGGCTGGCTCCGGCAATCCTCCGGAATTCAGGGGTTCTGATCCAACTGGAGAGCTCGGTTGCTAGCCTCGCCATTTTTTTGTGAGGAATTCCGCAAAGATCGGGCGAGGGGACGGGCCGTCCGCGGGCAGCGCCGGCGGGCCCTGCCCCACGCAGGGGCGCGGCGCCCG